GGGGAGAAGTTAATTGATGTCGTTAAGAGGACGACATTTAATTGCATTAACCTCGAAAAAGTAAAAAAAAAATAAAATTTGCAAAGATGCAAACCGCGCAACAAAGTCTGTATATTATTATTTTCGAATTCATTAGTTTTCGTCTGTTTGCTCAACCGTAAACGTCATCGGCATTTGTTTTGTTTTTTTGGTAATTAATCAAACGTTTATTTTAATTGCTCTCCCTCTCTCACCCCCCGCACGCGATTAAACTATTTATTCGGTTGCTGTTAGTTACATATATTGATATAGATTAAAAATTATGTAAACAACGAATCGCAATGTTTGCGCAGCGCGTATTCATTATTTACATATGCATTTGTTTTTTTTTCTTTTGGGTGCAAACGTTGCTTTATATTAGTTATTATATAGATTTGTATTTCTGAAATACTAAACAAAAAATTTGACATACGTCAATTGGAAACGACATTATAGTTTGCTCGTTATTATGACATGTGACATATAGAAATAGTTTCCGGTTATGATATAATTTGACATACGTCAAATGGGAACGACATTTATTGTTTGCTTGATATTATGACATGTGACGGATATAAAAGGTTTGCGCTTATGATATTATTTGACAGTTGTCAAATGGAAACGACGTTATTGTTTGCTTGTTATTATAACATGTGACAGATAGAAATGGTTTCCAGTTATGATAAAATTTGACAGTTATCAAATGCAAACGACATTATTGTTTGCTCGTTATTATGACATGTGACGGATAGAAATGGTTTCCGGTTATGATATAATTTGACATAAGTCAAATGCAAACGACATTTATTGTTTGCTTGGTATTATGACATGTGACGGATAGAAATGGTTTCCGTTATGATATAATTTGACATACGTCAAATGGAAACGACATTATAGTTTGCTTGTTATTATAACATATGACAGATAGAAATGGTCTATATATAATTTGATAGGATATAATTTGACATACGTCAAATGGAAACGACATTTATTGTTTGGTTGTTATTAAGACATGTGATGGATATAAATGGTTTCCAGTTATGATATAATTTGACATACGTCAAATGGAAACGACATTATTGTTTGCTTGTTATTATAACATGTGACGTATAGAAATGGTTTGCGGTTATGATATAATTTGACAGTTGTCATTAAAAAATACACAAATTGTGTACTATTCTGTTTAATTGCTCTATTGTGCCGTGTTTGCAACGAAAGCCAAGCTTATTAGGTTTCAATCGGTTAGCGAAAACTTTTGATAATATCGGTAAAAGACCTATTCTTCTATAGACTTGATTTCGTCGGCAGGTATTCCTGGTACGGTATATATTCTACTTCGATCAAGTTAATTACGGATGAAATCTTACAGATCAAATTTTCTACCAATTGAACGAATTGTTCAAGTTCCTTTATAGTTTTTAATTACTAGAAATATACGTAAAATTGTGGTTAGATTTTGATCTAGAATTAGTTTTCGAGTTTGTTGCATTTCAATATATTATAACTAAAATAGACAACGCTGCAATTATGCTTCCAAAATTCGGGGAGACCGCAGCGAAGGAAGACGGTCTAGGTCTCCAGTTGAGATTGCATTCCAACAGGAGAGCCACGGTCGCATGGCTGGATCTGAGCAACGCGTTCCCGTTAGTGTCAGCGGACACTGGAGCTGATCGGGGAACTTTACTCTGGGTGCACGGCCACGGTGATGGCGTCGTCGGGTGACACCGAGAGTATTCCCATTGGCGCAGGACTGCCCGCTGAGCCCTATAATATTCTACATCGCCCTCGAACTAGTCATCAGGGGAGCCATGGGCGAAGAGGTTGGTGTCCTGGATCCACGGCGAGAGGATGTCGACACCGATGACATGGTGGTCCTCGCCAACGACCCGCGAGAGTCGTCCTCGACGTGGTTGGAGAGATCTCCTCGAAGTGCGGCCTCACATTCAACGCCGCCAAGTGTGAGCCGCTGGACCTCAACTGCCGTGGTGGAGGCCGATCCCCTTACCATTCAGGGGAGCCAATGAGGACCATGGAAGAGGGCCAGTTTTACGTCCACCTGGACATCCCAACTGGGTTCCGTGTGGATATTAACCCAAACGAGACCCTGGAGAGGATAGCGTAGCAGCTGGAAGCGATCAACTATTCCCTTCTGGCCCCGTGGCAGATGTGCCGCTTCATCCTCAGGGGTTTCCATGTCCAAAAGGGGGTGCTCAAGGTGTTAGACTTGCGAATAAAGAAGCTAGTCAAACACTGGATGAACCTCCTCCAGGTCCTCTACGTGGAGCCTAAGGCAGGTGGCACCGGAATAATGCCGCTGCAGGATCTGGTGGAGGTCGCTACCGTCGTCCAGGCATACCGCATGTTGACGGCCAGTGATGGGTTGATGCGCCGGATCGCCGAAGGTCAGCTGAGGTGCGTGGTGGCGAAGAAGATCGGGAAGGCGAACCCCATGGACGACAAGGTGGCGGAGTACCTATCCGGCTCTCTGGAAAGGGACTTCGCCAGGGATGGGGATGACATCCGATCACTTTGGAGCAGGGCGCGGACTGCGACCCGCCGGCTGAACATCGACCACCAGGTCGTTTGGAGTTCTATTCTAAAATTATATTATAAAAAAATTAAATTTTTATCACGATTGTCGTCCCTGGTTACGAGAAAGCACCAAAATATCAGTAATTATCGCGCACTTCTAATTGGAACGATGTTGACTTAAGAAAGGGACGCGCACAACTGTGGCGTGAGAACTTCACGATCGTACCAACAGGCAACATGTCAATTTTTTATTTTTGCAATAAAAATGCATTGGTAACAATTAAACAAAAGAAAATGGTGGAGGGAAAGCGTCGGTCCGCCATTTTGCAAGAGTCCAAATTTCTAATTAATTAACGCGAATATCTCAATTAATAATTATAATGGAAAACGCACATTTTAACACAAGCTACGCAATCGATTAATGCGAATATTTTTTTTTTCGTTTCGTATCAGATTCATCACTAACCTTTAATAGCCGCTAAATCTAATGGGATTGTGTGATCTCTGTTGATGGTTTTCGCTAAATGCACTACAATTCGTTGGATTTAAACCAGTTGCACAACAATTTTGAACTTTTAAACTCTGAGAGTACGCCGACTCATAGAAGACCGAACCAAGACTGATTGTCCCTCTCCGCGCTACTGCAGTCGGTAATACCAACTCATTATGTTTAAGTTATAAAATTTTAATAACATTAAAACTCCCTCTTGCGGATCAATCGATAAACACATTAGCGCCAATATGACAAAAATCAATAAATTATTAATAAAATGTAAATTTTCTTATTCCAATTAGATGATTGTGAATCAATATGTGTGTTCGATTAGTATTTCCTATATGAAATGTTAATTGAAAAGAAGTTCAAATCACTCGATTAGTTTACACTGGAACATATTGACACATCCTTCGAGCTTCAATAATGCATGCATTCTATTAGTCACTCACTCACTCATAACCAACCGATTAGTTTGTTTTAGAACATTCTTGATTCCTTCGAGACACACACCTAATTATAATGAAACAGTTATAAAAATAACTGTTCGAACAAATTGAGTATAGTTTATGAAGTTACAAATAAATCTCAATGACAAAAACCAGTGTTTCCCAAACTTTTTCTCCTTGCTAATGACAGGTAAAAAAAAACAATAGAATTTGGTAGACATTCATTTTCCATATTACACAATGCTACAAAT